CCCTCTCTTTGAAATGTAATCCTCAAAGATTAGCACTCTTATCTCCCAATTTCTATGGGAGGCTAGCTCCGAGTTGCAAAACTATCTCCCATAATAAAGATATGAGAGAGATTTTTCCTTTGGATAAAGCCAATTAACTAATACAGGTATGGCCTACAATCCCCCCTAAAGTCCCCCAGTACTTTCCCATTAGCTCACTCCAGCTCTTTTTTTTTTTTTTAAACATATCTTTATTGATTTCAGGGAGAGGAAGGGAGAGGGAGAGATAGAAACATCAATGATGAGAGAGTCATTGATCGGCTGCCTCCTGCACGCCCCCGAGTGGGAATCGAGCCCACAACCCAGGCACGTGCCCTGACCGGGAATCGAACCCCGATCGCCTGGATCCTAGGTCGACGCTCAACTGCTGAGCCACGCCTGGTCGGGCTCACTCCAGCTCTTAAAAATTCTGTCATCCTTACTTCAGCAGAGATGGGTTCAGACTGGTCTCTCTCCTCTATTGGAATAGCCGTGAGTAAAGCCTTTCTTGCCTGCTTAACTTTGGTGCAGTTTTTGCTTTGACATTACCCACAGTTTATTGATTAAGAAACTGAGGCACAGGAAAATTGAGTAACTTGCCTAAGGTCCCACATTAGCGAGTGGGATTCTAGTCCTACCTCACTTTACTGACACAGTGATGCTGTCAGTCAGGGCTTTCTGTCTGCCTGAATTCTTCCTAGAATAAACATGACTGTGTCGAAAGCACTTTTACATCATTATTTTATTTGATCCAACCTAATACACTAGGCAGGGCAGGTATTTTTGTATCTTTACTTTACAGCTGAGAATTTAGGGAGGCTAAACACCTGGCCTAAATCCCACAGCCGGCAGCGAATGATTCCAACAAATATATTTGTTTCCACAGGTTTAGGGCCCCAAGGTTGAGGGTTCAATCCTCACCACACTCTTGAGCTGTGAGTCTAACTAGAACCAGGTACCTGGGAAGAGCTAACTCCCACCCGACTTTGGAAGCCTATGCCCTCTGCAGGCAGAGAAGGGCCTGTGATCCCTTCCTTCCAGTTCCAGTAGTCCCCCAGCCCCCCTCTCCACCCAACAGCCTCAGGAGGCCTTTCTGCATGTAGTTTAGAAAGCCGCCGCCTAAAGCCTTTCCCACCCACACGGCTTTCCTCTGAACCAGCTCCCTGTAGCGATCCTGCCTTTCCCCAGCCTCTTAGAACTCACTGAGGAGCTACGACTTATACAGGGACACCTGTCACTTTGCCCTGTTGAGACCACAAGTATGAGCTCCAGCCTGTTTCCTGCGGGTGTCCTGTCTCCCAAACTGGCTTCTCTTCTTTTCACAGGGCTTCCCACATAACCCAGGATGGCAGTGGGGGCGGTGGGTGGAGTAGGTAGGGGTCCTGGCAAAGATAAACCAGCACCAAAAGGGTGCTGGTGAAAGAGGATTGTGTGGAAATGTTTTCACAAGAGAACGAATATAGTAGAAAATAGTCTTCCCCTCAGGTCGGACTGACCTCTAGCTCTGGCTGCCGGAGGGTGATTTTGGTCCCGTTCGTTTCCTTTCTCTGGGTCTTTTCCCCCTTTACAATCTGACCATTGGACTAGTCCTTTCAGGCTGTGATATTCTGGGATTTCCAGGCCTTGGCTTTCCCAGTGGGAATGGAGGTATTTGCCCCCTCCCTGCTGGCTCACTGGGAACTCAGTGGTCCTTGTGGTCAGGCAGCATGTCTTGTAAAGAAGAGCCGAGCAGGACTTGGAGCTTTATGAGACCTGCAGTGGCTGCGCTTCACTGAATGAGCACTGCGCGGCCACGCCTCAAATCCATTTATCCTAAATGCTGCAGGCTGTGCCATCCCCCCCTCCACACACACGCACACCCACGTGCCAGCGAGGGGCACTGCCCACTGAGACCCGCCAGGGAGCTCTGTCTCACACGCCCCAGTCACCACAGGGACAGTTTGTGGCTGGGAAGCTAGCAGAGGAGGCTGGCTCTCCTTGGGAGGAGGTGGAGCCCAGCCACGTGCTGGAGAGAGAGGGGGGGCAGGGAGGGGAGAGAGGGGGTCGAGAGACAGAGAGAGACAGAGAGAGGGAGANGCCCCCCTCTCCACCCAACAGCCTCAGGAGGCCTTTCTGCATGTAGTTTAGAAAGCCGCCGCCTAAAGCCTTTCCCACCCACACGGCTTTCCTCTGAACCAGCTCCCTGTAGCGATCCTGCCTTTCCCCAGCCTCTTAGAACTCACTGAGGAGCTACGACTTATACAGGGACACCTGTCACTTTGCCCTGTTGAGACCACAAGTATGAGCTCCAGCCTGTTTCCTGCGGGTGTCCTGTCTCCCAAACTGGCTTCTCTTCTTTTCACAGGGCTTCCCACATAACCCAGGATGGCAGTGGGGGCGGTGGGTGGAGTAGGTAGGGGTCCTGGCAAAGATAAACCAGCACCAAAAGGGTGCTGGTGAAAGAGGATTGTGTGGAAATGTTTTCACAAGAGAACGAATATAGTAGAAAATAGTCTTCCCCTCAGGTCGGACTGACCTCTAGCTCTGGCTGCCGGAGGGTGATTTTGGTCCCGTTCGTTTCCTTTCTCTGGGTCTTTTCCCCCTTTACAATCTGACCATTGGACTAGTCCTTTCAGGCTGTGATATTCTGGGATTTCCAGGCCTTGGCTTTCCCAGTGGGAATGGAGGTATTTGCCCCCTCCCTGCTGGCTCACTGGGAACTCAGTGGTCCTTGTGGTCAGGCAGCATGTCTTGTAAAGAAGAGCCGAGCAGGACTTGGAGCTTTATGAGACCTGCAGTGGCTGCGCTTCACTGAATGAGCACTGCGCGGCCACGCCTCAAATCCATTTATCCTAAATGCTGCAGGCTGTGCCATCCCCCCCTCCACACACACGCACACCCACGTGCCAGCGAGGGGCACTGCCCACTGAGACCCGCCAGGGAGCTCTGTCTCACACGCCCCAGTCACCACAGGGACAGTTTGTGGCTGGGAAGCTAGCAGAGGAGGCTGGCTCTCCTTGGGAGGAGGTGGAGCCCAGCCACGTGCTGGAGAGAGAGGGGGGGCAGGGAGGGGAGAGAGGGGGTCGAGAGACAGAGAGAGACAGAGAGAGGGAGAGGGGAGAGAGAGGAGAGAGAGAGAGAGAGAGAGAGAGAGAGAGAGAGAGAGAAGCTTTTGTTCCCCGAGCTAATAATAGAACCTTCAGCAAATGATTCTGATTCCTGTCAGAGTTCTTCAGACTCTGCCTGGGAGGGGAAGGCACTTGGAGGCAGAATGCATTGTTTCCTGTCCTCCCTCCCTGGTATTGCCTGTGCGGATCCACCAGTTACTTCTCAAGGGCTGTGGGCACTGAGGGGAGCAAAGGAGGTTGTCCCGACCATACCCGACCTCTAGAACGCTGTCCCCACCTCCCGCCAGACACACCCCTTGGAAGCCTTCAGTTGTTCATTCCTGTATCTAGTGGTGGCTCCTGGTGAAGCTCAGTGTAGGGATTGCCTCTTCCGCAGCCCCAGCCCATTTCCTCCACCAGATGTGGGCAGGCGCCCTCAGTCTCTCAGGCTCTTTAAATGACTTAATCGCAGGTCCTTCTGTCCTCTCTCAAGACCAGGATGGCTTTAACATTCCCTCAGCTTGACTGAAGTTTGGGCAGGCTTTTTCCTGGCACTAGCCTCTGACCTCTTTTCATTAGAGCATTGGCTTTAGAGAATTTTATTGTAAATTCTTTGTCCCTTTGAGATGTAAGTCTTCTCCCTGCCTCATTCCAGTTTGACAACCCAGGAAGGGACCTGAGAACCCTGCCTCTATAATGTAAAGCCCAGGAAGATAGTGCCTTATCTCCCAGTTTCTGTGGAAAGATAAGAGCCTAACTTCAATGGTGGGGACAGGGAGGCCCTAGCTCCAAGTTGTCATGAAGATACTGGGAGGTTTACTTTTCCGTTGGGTAAGGCTAATTACCAGACACAGATAGATGTCTAAGGTTCCGCCATCCCAGCTCTTAAAAACTCACAGCCTGTTGTTTCTACCTAGGTATTAGATGTCATCTCTGCTCTCTCCCCTACTGCTGGCAATAGTATCAGAATAAAATCAACCTCTGTCAGCACGCTGTATTTGGTGTGATTTTTTTTTTCTTTAACACTCATCATGGTTATGATTTCCCTCAAATCACTCTCTTCTGGTCTTTGCTGTTTTGCAACTTATTAGGCAACCAAGTAATACATTACTGGAAATGTGTGCGTGTGTGTTTGCGTGCGGGAGAGAGAGAGAGAGGGACCTCTCTCACTCCACTAAAATTTTTTTTTGGGAGCAATGTATCTAAGATGTCTGTGCCACATACTGCCTCATGGTAGAGCACTGCAGGTGTTCAAGCCCTGCTTGTTGAAAATGTTTTGTCAGCATTTTCCATCCAACACAAAGCATGACTGTTAGTTCTCTAAAAACATGGCAAGGTTTTAAAACATTTTTATTTGTATTGTTTTCTGCCAGCAGAAAATACCATAATTTTTTGCAACGGCCAAGAAGAGAGAATTTCACTCATCTCTCTTCCTATGAAAATACAAAATTTGGGATAGAGGGAAAATCTGGTTTTATGGGGGAGGCTGCAAGTGGGTCTTCTTGGATGAAGCCTCAAGAAGAAAAACAGGACTCTGGTGTTGTGCAAGACACTCTGGAATTTAATTGGGAGCACGTAAGGATGAATAGAGGCTCAGAGGGAATCCCACTGTGGGTTGCATCATGGCTTCAGAGCCTGAAAGTGGGATTTTTCCTTCCTCACTTGGCTTGAGCCCTTTGAGAGCATTCCAGTAGCAACCCTTGTCTTTCAAACTTCATCATCCTTAAATCCTCTCACTGTCCTAGGCAGCGTCAAAGCTCGGGAGAAAATTCAGTCTTTGTCTAGTTTATCACTTTTCATATAATGTATTCTAATACCCAGGTAGTAGAGAAACCAACACGCAGAGAAATGAAGAGACGTGCCTAAGGTCTTTCTCTGTGCGTGCACTTGATGACGTCAGGGCGTAGATTCCAAGTCTCTCAGCCTGGTCTTCCCTGTGTACCATGCTGCCTCTCTCCTACTGAGGGCAGGCGTTTGTAGGGCCCTGGAGCGGGAGCCGGATGTCGGAGGCAGTGTCAACTCCTGCTAGAAGAGGTGGGAATTAGGCTCTTCCACGAAGCCACTGCTGTCAGAGCATGTGCTGTTGTGCTGGTGGAGAAAGCCTGCGGTGCGAATGAAAAGGAAGCACATCATGCATTTTTGAGACAATTTTGGGTATTGGCGTTGGTAGAAACTTTTATGCCCCACCTGTGGAAATGTTTCTCACTATATAAGTAATATTTAAAGTTATTAGCAGCAGCAGCAGAGTCATGTGACAGGCTTTTTGCTCTTCTCACTAGGAAGTGAGATTTCTGGAAGCATTTACTTCTTTTTTATACTTATAAAAGTATACCTATACTTTATTCTTATTCTTATATATATATTACTGAGCACTGCTGTAGAAAATTATAAGACCATTGCCAACCCATGTTCTGCACCTTGAGCTGAATCCCAGCATTTTTCACCTTTTAATCCCAGCATTATTAAACTGTTACTACATGTTTCTGTTAATAAATATTTCTCTTATCCTTTCTCCATAGTGACAAATCAAATCTTCCTATCTTCCTGAAATTCCCTGCATCCCACTTTTAGGGATGACACAACAGGAAAAAGAGAGAAACCAATAGGCAGAAATTTCTTGGCTTCTTCCCCAAATGACCGATGTAACTGTATTCACACCTGTCCTTTTCCCTTTCCTCTAATCTCAGACAAAGATTTGCACCGGAAGTTCATGACTAACCCACCCTTCACCCCAAAGTGCTTTGGCTCCCAACTCATTCTAATTCTCCAGAGACCTCAGGTCATCATTCTCCCTTCCCTCCAGAACTATACTCTCTCCCACCCTGTTGATTCTTTCCCTTTAGCAAATATACATGCTCAAACCTTCCCCATCCTAAAAACAACAAAAAGCAAGAAACACTCGGTAGAGTCTCTTGACCCCTTTACTTACCTTATTTGCATAATTTCCTATTCACTTGCATTAATATTTTAAAGTCCTGTCACACAAATAAAAATAGTCTTATCAAGGTTCCTAATCATTATCGAGTTGCAAATCCAACGGCATCTTTGCTTTCTCATTCCTAATGGGTGTTTTATGACATGTTACCGAGGACTACACCCTCCTTCTTAAAACCAACTTCATTTGGCTTCTATCGGAAACTTTCTTTTCCCAATCAATAAGACCACTCCTTTATGAATATCTTTTGTTTGCTCAGTCCGTAAGTGCTAATGTTCCTAAGGGTTTCTTTTTCATTTTAACTCCTGTTTTCCCTAGGTGAGCTATTAGTTTCATGCCTTCACTTATTATAAGTAAGCATTGAATTTCAAAAAAGTCTCCTCAAATTAAGATATTCAGCTGTCTTGTGGACTTTTTTACTTTAGTATTTCAGAAGTGCCCGAACTCATCGTATCCAAATCTGAACTCATCAAATTGTTCTAAACTCGAAAATAGGCAAACAAGATTTCCAGGTGTCCTTTCGGTATAGGATTAGTCTTGAGTTTCTATTTACAGGGCTATTTGCTAACTCTGTAGGGGCAGAGATTACCTTGAAAATTTATGTTGAGCAGAGATGCAAATAATTTCTTTCCAGTGTGATCAGTATTCCCTGACATTAGAATTTATGGTGTTGTTGAATATTAACCAGTTTTGTAGCTAACGGGGCAATCTATTAGGTTGTCTGTATATAACTAGCTTCTCAAATACTCTCTGGACAGCTCAAACATATTACTTTTACACTTATTAACTAATGAGTAAAATCTTTAAACATGTTTATCTTATGTTTGCATGAGAGTCATTTTAATTTTTAAAAATTTTACTTTAAAATATTTGCCTTCCATTTTGTTACTTCTACTGTAGCCTGTTTTTAATAAAGAGACATTAATATTCACTTAGTCACCCAATAAAAAAACCTGGAAATTTCTGTTTCTTTCTTCTCACCTCATGCCTCCTAAACACTAGGTTTAGCCACTGTATATATTAAAAATCCCACTCTTCTTCCCCTCCATTCCCAATACTCTCAACCTATTTCTGCTCATCACATTTCTCCTCTGTGGTAAGCTCTTGAATGACTTCCCTTCCTCCACTGGCTCCCTAGTCTGTCCATTTCTTATACCTCTGCCAGAATTATCTTTCTAAAAGATAAATCTAATCATATCATTCCTTTGTAAAATTTTAAGTGGTTCCCTATCTTCCTACACTGAATCAAAATACTTAAAACAACATAGAAGACTTTGTTTCATAATCTGATTTCTATTAATCTTTCCTAGTCTTAATTTCGACCTTCTCCCACATATCCCCTTTCTCCCACTAGGCACAAGGTGAAGTTTCTGATGACGCTGTGATTTTCCATTCCTCTGCCTTTGAACGTGTTCCCTTGAACTAGGATATCAATGTCCTGCTGCTTCTTCTGTGTCTGCCCACTACCTTTACTCATCTGTCCAGATTCACCTGGAAATGTCATCCTCTGGGAAGTTCATTTTTCTATGTCCCCATGGCATCTAATGAAATTAAATCAAAGTAATTGGTGATTTTCCTGAACTCTGAGCCACATGCATCCGGTGATCGTGCCTGCTTAATCTGTCTAATACTCCCCTTGCCGGTGAGTTTGTAAGAAGGCAAGTGGGACCAGTGGTGGCAAAGCTCCAAGCGTTAGGGCAGGTCCAGGCCCCAGATGCGAGACTTGCTCTGACCCACAGCCACGGCCTGAACTCCTGCACACTCAGGGCAGTGTGACCTCATGAAAAGAGCATTGGCTTGGAAGTCAGGAGACTTGAATTCTGGTACTGATTATGATATTAACTAACTAGTTACATGATCTTGCTGGGTCATTTTTCTTCTCATATGTAGTCTGTATGATTCTAAGATTTACATGAGATAATATCTCTGACAGTGCTGTATACTCCCTAGAGGTACTTTCTACCTGAAGGGCTGGGTAAGACAGTGATGGAGCCAGGCCTCTGCTCTGCGCATCTCCAGGAGCAATGCTTACACTGCAGTCTATGTGAATGCTGACCTGAAGTTGCGGGGCTTGCGGGCCTTGGATGTAGCCTCGGTAAGCCATTGAAACATTTGAAATGCGTAAGCCAGAAAATGAGCGTTATGCAATGCAGAGAGAGACTCTCCTGCCTCCCGCAGCTCTGAGGAAGAACGGGGCCATACAGGTGAAGGGAAGGCCAGGGAAGGGAGGAGATACGCAGAGGTGAACCGGGAACACAAATGAAAAATAAGCTTAATTTTCCCGGGTGTGAAGGAGGCCTCCTCCCCTCCCCCACCTTTTCTTAAAGCATGTTTCTTTAGAAAACCTCTAAGCTCTTTACTTGTGTCTTTGAAATGTACGCAAATCTTTTTAAACGGCTATACTAAGCCTCTGGTCACCTTTACAATCCAGGAATGTGTTTCTTAAGGGAATGTAAGCCTCAAGTACCATGGCGCCCCTGCCTCTCCTTCTTCATGGGAAGGTACGAGTGTGACTTAGGTGCTTGGCTCCAACTCACAACTACCTCTGCCATAGAGAAAGGAGAGCTTTTATTATGCCTTTGGATAAAGGCTATTAGCTAACGCAGTGGGCCACCCAAGTGACCAGGTACATGCAGGACGAACGGTGTGTGACCGATGGTGCTGTCAGTCCTCTGACTTGAGGACTAGTTATTATTTTGATATGTGTGTAATGGGTTGTATTTACTTGGCTATATAGGAAGTGAAATTTCTTTCTGACTTTGCAATCTCACTTGTGGTTTGCCTGTGATGCCCATCATGTTCTGGTTTAACGCTTATTTAAAAATAAAACTGTTTTCTCTCTCTTATATATTTTTTGTAGAGGCTTTCTGGGATGGAAGAAGATTTTTGTTTTTAATTATATTTCCCCAACAGGCACAAAACAACCTTGATAAGAATTATAAATGGGCAGAAAATAATTGTCACATTCTAACGATGTCCTCTCTCCCTTTCCCATCTCTCCCTGTACTTCCTATCTAGTAGTTTCTCTTCGGAATTTATTTAGGTATAAAAATAACTGTCCAGTGTCATTGTCTACAAAGTGGGAAACAATAAAAAACATACACCATAAATGATTTGATTCCCATAAATTGCTAAGGATAGTAGTGTCTGACATGCAGTGAACCCTATATATATTTGCCATTGTTAATATTATCATATGGAAAAATCTTACATCAAAGAGCAAGTCTATAGCTACCTGGCCCACATAGGTTCCACCAAGCACTTTGATCAATCCCCTATGGGATTATGTCACACTAGTTATCTTTTTTATCCTATGCGCTGTACCAGCCCCCAATCCTTCCTGTCTCTTCTGTCACTGCCACAAGAAGAGTTGACCATAAAATGAAACCTCCCATATCCATATATGATCACTTCACAAATAGATATCTATTGGCTTGTGTTACCTCAGATCTGGTAAAAAACAAATAGCAAAAATTAAAAACCTCCTTGGCCCTGCCTTTTATAAATGTGGTAAAGGTCAGTTGGTTTAAATTTCAGCAATAGGGCAGCAATAAAAGGGCTATGAATTTGAAATTTTTGAGCATGGTGCAAATGATGGAGAATGATGACAGTCATCCTTTCCCGGGAACTTGGAGGGAGAGTAAGGCTTCTCTGGTAGAGACTAAATGATAGAGTGGAAGGGAAGAAAGCTAATAGCTGGGGACCAGATCCTCTTTTAACAGAAAAGGTGCCCTTGTGCTAGTTATGAAAAGGTACTCACCTTATGTAGATGAATTAAGAGAAAAAAGGAACTGATGAAGACTCTTGAGATTTTGGGTGGTAAGCTCCGTAGAGCTGGATTTGAACCACATTTGCCTCTTTCAGTGGGTGTCTTTGTGCAATGTGAGGACTATACAAACTGGACACAGTGGCTGGTTGGGTGTTGCTACCACTTCCTACTCATGCTCTCACCCCTCCCATGCCTGGTAATCAATAGTAGATTAACTTCTGGGACTTGATACAGCGATTTTAGGAGATAATTACAGACCCTAGAAGAGACAGTGGGGTTGTTTTTCAGTAGATCTGAGGGACTGTCCCACCTAACTCTACCTTTGATGGTGGTAAGTGAATTTCCCCTTCCATATTTCTCATGCAGTCTTTAATTTTGGCAGAACTGAGCTGTTCTCGTGGCTATCCTCTCCTTCCTGTGATCTCTTAAAGGATGCTTGAGAGAGACAGTCCATAGCTTTGTGAAAAGATGATTAAACAAATTCACAGAGAACTGGAAAGGTTTGAGAACCACTGTGATCCCTGTCTCAGCCAAAGAATGTGTCAGTGAAGACAAGATCTCTCATTCTTCTAGAGAGGCATAAAAAAAAAATCAACAAAATCACTTCCTCGTTTACCTGAGAGACTAAGTGCATTTACTGCCTAAAGTTACTGTGCTTCGTTGAATCTGATAAGCCATCATTTGTAAGACTTATAATTATTTTATATTCTACTAAGGAGGCCAAAAAATTAGACAAGTACAGTGGCTGACAATGACAATTGTTAAGATCCATTCTATTTGAGAGATTAAAGTGTGGAAAACTGTACACATTAGAATAAATGAAATACAGCACTTCTAACTGCAACCTCTCTTGCTGTAATGAAATCACATCACTATAGCAGAAAATGGGATCTAGTAACTTATTTGAAATATGTAGCTCCTAGAAATACTTCCTCCCTGGCATAACCATATAGATCCTGCACAGGGCCTGCGATGCTGGACATCTTGGTATTTTCTTGTGCAAGGCTGACATCTGCTGGACAAAGAGCACTTGAGCAAAGCTCTATACATTAGTCCCTTGCTAATCTGTTGTTTGGCTTTCTACGATTCAGTTACCCATGGTTAACAGTCTGAAAATATCAAATGAAAAATTCCGGAAATAAACAATTCACAAATTTTAAATTGTATGCTGTTCTGAGTAGTGATGAAATCTCTCACAGTCCTGCTCCATCCCACTCGGGACGTGAATCATCCCTTTGTCCAGAGTCTCTACACTTTAAACATTCCCTGCCTATTAGTCACTCAGTAGCCATCTCCATTTTCAGATCAACTGGCAGGTTATCACAAAGCTTGTGTTCAAGTCACTCTTATTTTACTTAGTGATGCCACATTTCCATAACTTTTATTACAATATATTGTTACAATTGTTCTATTTTCTTATTAGTCATTGTTAATCTCTTACTGTGCCTAATTTATAAATTAAACTTTATCATAGGTATGTATTCTCAGAAAAACACAGTACATATAGGGTTCAGTCCTACCTGTGGTTTCAGGCATCCACTGGGGCCTTGGAACACATGCCCCACGGGTGGTGGGGGAGGCTACTGCCTGTGTGTGTTATTCTCCTATGTAGTAAGACAAAACTAAAGTGATTTCTGCAAGAACTAGTAGGAGTTGTGTCTTTTGTTTCCATATCTTAAACTTTTTCAACCACATGTAACATATTACTACTGCCTTCTGATAATTACCTCTTTCGTGAGTGACTAACTGCATACATACAAGCTGTAAACCTGGAGATGAAGGTAATGGGTAAGGAGAAAGGAGAGCCATTAGGGACAAAAACCACAGAGTTAGAACTCAGAGAGTTAGAATTGCAAAGATCTTTGTGACACTGAAATTAGTAACACTGAAATTTTGGAGTATTAACCAAAAAAGCTACTGTGCTAGGAAGGGCAACAAATAGTACTAAGATATGCAAAATGAAGGGAACTGTAAGCCAGATGAATCTGGATTCATTTACTTAATTCGAGAAAGGTTTCAATTCCTATTACCTTGGAAAAATCATTATCCCTGATGTCATCTTATCTGTGGTTCTAGGATACAGGTGGTAAAAACTACATGAGATTAAGTTTCACTTAGTTTAAATAATAAATCTTTAGCCATAATGTTCAAATGTATAGGGGATGCCTCTGAAAGAGTTACTGTTCAAAACTCACATCAAGAGGAAAGACATTTTAGGGGCAATAACTTCGTATGTGAGATTCATTGTCCTTTGAGTGGGGGGAGAGGAGCTACATGCGTCAGACCCTCATTGCAGAAAGGGACACAGAGCCTAAATGAGCAAAGCTGTGAGATACACTGAGGAGTCTTCCCTAAGTCCTATGATGTGGGCTGATTAGAAAGTAGCTAAAAAAGTAGGTGCTGGCATATAAATCTCCATGATCATTCCTCACCTGTTACAAAATTTTTACAATGCTTCTCAAATTTCAATGTGCAAAAGAATCACTAAGGATCTGATACAATGGTGATTCATCAGGTCTGGGGCTGAGATTCTAAATTTCTGACAAAATTCCAAGTGATGTTAATTCTGCTGGCCTGCAGCCTACATTTTGAATATTAAGGTTATACAGAATTTCCCCCAGGACAGCAGTTCTCAGACTGTGATCTCCAGACCAGCAGCATCAGCATTACCTGGGAACTTGTTCGAAATGCAAATTCCCAGCCCCTGTCTAGACCTAGTTAATCAGAAACTCTGGGAGTTGGGGCCCAGCCATCTGTATTTTAACGAGTCCTCCAGATGATTCTGATGCTAACTTCTGAGAACCACTGATTTAGAGGAGTATTTATCCAGACATAGTAGAATTACCCTAGGAGCCTATAAACAAAATATCAGCCAGGTTTGAGAGCCACTGCCAGAGAGGGAGAAGGAAGGAGGGAGGGAGAGAGAGAGGGAGAGAGAGAGAGACACTTACTTCTTGAGTCTTTGCTGTCGTAAGTCCCGTAGAGGTGAGGGGGTCTGGGTCTGTGGGCCCAGTGGGTCTCCTCCTCCTCGCTGTTGCTTTGCACCTGTAACCAAGATCCCAGCAAAACTAGTCAGAGCCAGTGGTGGAGAAAAGTGCAGGATGGCAGGCAGCTGTAGAGGAAGGGGTCTGAGTATACTTGGAGGACTTGGCCTCTTCTCCTGTGGCAGGAGCCCAATAGGGAGAAAGGCAGGAGCTGAGGTATAGCTCTCAGTGAGAGGTGACACACATACAAATAATATATTGAGTCATCACACATTCTCTTGGTGGCAAAGACTTGAGAGCTTTTCCAAGGGACCCTTGCACTTGGTGGCAGTACTATAGACCTCAGCAAGAGGAGTCCTGGGTTTTTGAGAGTCCATGGGATAAAGAGTTGGTGGACCTAGGGAATGTGCCCACCTAGATCCTTCTAGACCATGTTCTGGTTACTCAGAATCTCAAATATGCTGCTCAAAAGGCCCTAAGCCTGCTTCAGTGAACTGCACTGGTTTTGCTTGGTATCTGTTCTCTCAAGTGCCATCTTCTCTATTAGTATATGCACTCTGGGGCCTGAGTGATGGCCAACGGACGGCTATTTGTGTGGGTAGGGCGTATGAGGCATTTGGATTTACAGACTGGGCTGTTCACACACTTGTATATGAAATCCCTGATGGTTCAGGACAGATCTTGGCACGGAAAGAGAAAGGGACAGACCAGGGGCTGGAGAGTGGCTCTGCCCACACTGCCATGTTCTAGCACAGAAGTCCTAAGCGTCTAAGAATTCTAGATTTGAACCTGGACTTCCAGGTCTCTATGGTTACATATTTGTCAAGGTAGGAGTGAAAATATTTTATTTAACAGTGTTTAGCTTAGTGTATAACTGATCTCTACTCTTGTGTGGATCCCACAAGTGATAGGGGCAGGGGTGCTTGATGAGAAACTCCAAGAAGAACGGATCAGATGAGGAATTAGAAAAGCAGTTCTGGTCTCCTCCTCCTTGAGAAACCAAACCTGTTTCTTTTTCTCCATTTATATTTGCTCACTCCCAAAGGTTTCTGAATGTAATTCAAGAATCGGTATATCTGATGAGGACAGGGAGGCTGGATTCCCTTTACCTGAGGACAAGAATTCTGAGCCTTTCTCTGCCATTCTTGCTGCACCTCCAATCTACTCACCTCTTCCAAGTCAAAAGTGTCCTGCGGCCGTTGGGTTAGAGACCGGCGCAGTTCCTCTCTCTCTAGGCTCTGCTTCCATTTCTGCTGGCTGACGGACAGGTCCAACGATTTAACCTTCCTGACTGTGGGATTCTCCTGAAACAGGCTCTTTCTTGCTCTGCTCTTCCTTTTCCAGAAGGTCTCATCCTTGACTGAGTGGGCTTCCTTAGTGGTGGCCTGCAGACCCCACAGTTTTCTCTTTACCTGTGCAGGGTCTGTGCTCCACTGTGGGTCTGCTCTGGGCAGAGAACATGTGTAACAGGGTGTCTCGGGGTTCGAGTGCAGAGTTCGTGGCGGGGCGCGCACTGTGGGCATCCCCTGCTGTGTGTCCTCCTTAGGGCTGAGGACACATGAACAGGTTGCAGGCAGCGTTGTGCCACTGACAGGGGGCTCAAGGCCTTCCTGTGAGCCTGGCCCAGGCTCGGGGTCTTGCTGAAGAACCAGCTTCTCTCCCCTCACTCTGTCCATCACTTCCCACACCACTTGGTCCAAACTGTTCTTTTTGGGAGTATTGTGGGGTGGTGATAACCGAACTCGGGGGCACGTATACAGGCACATTTTTGAGATGGCTTTCCGGAGACGCTCTCTGGGTGACTGAGGTTCAGGTTCTGGGGCCAGAATCTTGATGGATGGCACATCAGGTGGGTTGCAATTCCAGAACATGTGGGATGGTGTGAACTTTTGGACAGGTGTCTTAGACACATAGGAGTAGAGACAGAAGAAGGCATCAGCAGTGACAGCCAGTGTTTGCACCTGCTTAAACCTGCCTGGGTACAAGGGTTGAAGATGGTGAGTCTGGGGGGCTATCAGCAAATTATTTCTTGAATTTCTCCCTTCAATAGCTTTCCTAAACTTAAAAAATCAAATTATTTCTTGAATTTCTCCCTTCAATAGCCTTTCTAAACTTAAAACACAATTTCCTCATTAGTGTTTCTCTCACTTCGATTTCTGACACCCAGAATCCCTTCCCTTTTTTGATTTTATTGATTTGTTTTTTTAATTTTTATTGAATTTATTGGGGTGACATTGGTTAATAAAATTATATAGATTTCAAGTGTACAATTCTATAATATATCATCTGTATATTATATTGTGTGTTTACCACCTGAAGTCAAGTCTCCTTCCACTTTCTTTATTTCTAAACTCCTCATAACAAGTAGGTATTTTACATTATCCCCAAAATTAATTTTATACGGGATGAGAAACATTTCTATATCTTGAGTTAGCATATCTTTGTGCTGTAGTATATTCTAAACAATGACCTCCATCACTGTGTTTGTTTTAGATGAAAAACATAATAAGAAACAACAAAATAACATTTTTTCATAACAAAACTTTAAGATTATAGAAGGCTTCTCGACAGCAACAAATCTGAGGATAGCAATGACTAGGCAATGGATTAGAGTAGAGAAATTTAGATGCACTCTATCATTTCTATCAGACTTTTGCTTCTCAAAGCGTGACTAGTAGTCCAGTAGCATCAGCATTGCTTGGCAACTTGTTATAAATTCAGAATCTCAGACTATATCCCAAGCATTTTAACAGTATCCTTTGGTAATTTATGTGCACATCCATGTTTGAAGAGAGCTGTGATAAACCATAGATCCATTATATTGTAACCTTCCTGAAGGCAAGAATCATGTTCCTCTTATCTAGCTATTGTGATTCAGGAATTTAACACCTAATTATGTACCTGGCACATACAACAAATTCAATAATCATCCTCAAGAGTGTGACTAAATCATCTATGTTGTGAAAATACTCCAATTCAAAATCCTTGTTTCAGCAGGTGGCGCTCAGGAGTCTAATTTCTACCAAGCTTTTAGGTTGAATCTCATGCAAAGAATTGGAAACAACACTGTCAGAAATGCCTTCATGTTTTGGGTGTAGCAGGATATAATTTGAAATATATTCTAACATATAGAATCAAATAGAGTCTTTTATACCTCATCAAGATAGACAAGCCCTCTCACATTTTTCCTTAGTCTGGAATCAGTACAACTTAAATTATTATTTCCCTAGATGTCGTCTAAGGATTACCCATAAGAATCATCTGTGTGCTTGTTTAAAGTAAATATCCCTGAGCCCCTCTTTCTCTGGAGGAAAAACCTGTGAATATGAATGCTTTGTAAACTCCGTGCAATTTAACATATTGAACTTTGAGAACCACTGTCCTAAATGGAAATTATTTTAATGCAGTGGCTGTAAATGGGTACATTTGATAATTCCAACTAAGAAATAGAAAACAAGGGTGAGATTTAAAGATATTGTTCCGATTGGAGAAGGCTTACAGAAAACTACGGTGATATGAGGTCTCGAGAAGAGAATTTCAAGAGAGAGAAGGAGATGTCAGCATTTCCCATCTGCACTGAAGACAACATAAGAGAAGACGGACACAAGAGACAAAGTGAAGCTAATCAGGAGAAAGTAGGATTTGGGTCCATCGGTCTCTCCCTGGAGGCTCGGGGAGAAGCAGAGCACGGATTTGGGGAACACTCACTGGCCAGCATGAGGCAAGGGTCCTCCATCTCGATCCTCCGCACCTGGGCCTTCAGGAAGAGCTGGAAATCAATGCCTCTGGCCTGGGAGGGGTTGGTGAAAAATCGGGCAGGAATCCGAGAAGTGTCTTTGTGGTCCTCCTGACCAAAGCCCAGACTGAAGAGGACATCTTCTGCATCTTCTTGCACCTTGTCCAGAATTTCAGAGATGCTGAAAAAAGGGAGTTTAGGTAAGTAGGGGCAATTTTGAGGCACAGTGTAATCCAAGTATCTTTGACTTTGAGAAAAGCTTTTATTTCTCTGAACCTAAATTCTCTGTCTGAAACATGGGAATTACAATGCGGCTGTGGTTTAAAAATTGAATAAAAATCTATCATAGTACTTTGAATAACTGATTACAGGTGAATGAAAATGTACTAGGAGAGGATTTGAACAATCAAAATCAGTAGAGATGCAAAGAAATCTGTGGCTGTGTTATTAACCAATCAGTTCTGACTTGTGCATATGTACTATGACATAGCTGGCTTCTGCCAAGTGCTTTGCAACTTGTCACCCAGTTTGCCCTTAGCAGTTGTCTGGGAATGTGTGTGTAGGGGACATAAAACTCATTTTATTCTCACTCTGAGGATAAAAATTTTTCAATATGGTAGGTCCTCACTTAATGTCATCAATAGGTTCTGTGACTTTAAGCAAAACAACATGGAATGAAATCGAATTTACCATAGGCTAATTGTTATAAACAGCTGTTAAGTTTCTCTAATCAATGCTGTAACAAAATGGCGTTGAAAAAAACAACGTTATATGAAGACGTGCTGTATAGGTATGTTCAGAACCTGATTTTGAGAAGTAGACCCCTTTGTAGCACCATTTTCAGTACAGAAGCCCTACATTACAGAAGATCAAGCACTCTCTCTTTATGGCACCAACACTTATCTACATCCGAATCTGTGTTCCTCCAGGCTGGGTGACACAGAGCTCAATAACTATACATCCCAAACAAGAATGGGGG